GGAAAAATAGTAACTTTACAATATAGTCCTGGCAGACACCATCTTAGCCAAATAACCTGAGTTCATATCATCAGGAATATGTACCAAAAGCATGTATCCCCTACTATCGTGCACTGAGAAGAGCACATCAGACAGATCCAAATAGAGTTACATTCTATAGAATAACTAACTAGTATCCTTCAAAAGCGTTGAAGTCACAAAAAAACAATGAAAGAGTGAAAAATAGCCACAGGTTGGAGGAGACATAACAACTAAATGCAATGTGTAATTTCAAGAAGGGATCTTGGAACAAATAAATAAATAAATTTCAGTGAGTGAAAATACACATCCACTCCAGTTAGTAGTATTATACCAAGGTTAATTTCTTAATTTGTTAATTTTTCTATGATTATGATAAGATGTTAACATAAGGGTAATGTGGGTAAAGGGTATATGGAAATTCTCTGTACTACTTTTGAAATTCTCTTGTAAATTTAAGATTATCTCAAAATAAGACTTTTTAAAAAAACTTATGACTCAAATTGGACCTACTATTTTAATACTTATTAAAAATTACTTTCCTGAGCTGAGGTTGTGGCTCAGTAGTAGAGCAGTTGCCTAGCATGTGTGAGGCCCTGGGTTCGATCCTCAGCACCACACACACAAAATAAATAAAAAATAAAATTAAAAAAAAACATTACTTTTGGGCTGGGGATGTGGTTCAAGTGGTAGCGAGCTTGCCTGGCATGCGTGCGGCCCGAGTTCGATCCTCAGCACCACATACAAAGATGTTTGTCTGGTGAGAACTAAAAAATAAAAAAAATATTAAAATAAAAAAAATTACTCTCCTGAGTAAGATAGAAAGAATATTTACTTCAGTGATATATTCAGTTTATTTTTTTCAGTTCTTTTTATTATTATATATTGAATTGATGTAAAAGTTCATAGCAAATGTGTAAGTTGTAAGGAGTATAATAATACAGGTACAAGGGTAGCTTGAAGCTCTCAGTATCTCTGTTCAATCCTTTTTTTCTCTCTTTAACCTCCATCATGAATTTTATATTTTTCATTTCCTTACTTTTTTTCATATTTTAATGTATGAAGTATGCATCTAATAATAATATATTTTCACATTATCTTTAAATTTGTATAAAAGGGGTAAATAATACTATGTGTATTCTTCTATAATGTGTTTTTCCCTAAATATCTTATTCCTGAGACTTATCAATTTTGATGTATGCTGTAGCTGCTTTATAGCTTTCCTTTGTATGAACATACCATAAGTTACTTCTTCATTCTACTGTTAATAGCCATTTGGTTGGTATCCACTTTTGCTGTTAAAACAAAATAAAACAAAAGAGCTACTTCACATATCCTTATATATGACCTAAGAGTCTTCCTAGTGTAAATACTTAAAAATAGACTTACTGTGTTATAGGGTAAGTGCCTTATCAACTTTATTATATAAAACCAAATTATTTTCCAAAGTGGATATCTAACTTTTAATACCTCCAATGATATATGTGTTCTAGTTGTTCCACTTTCTCCCTAACATAATATTATTAGACTTTAACTTTTTAAGAATGTGGTAGATATGTATATTAAATTTTTAAATATTGCTATTGACTGATTACTGTGGAAGGCAATTGTATACTTCACTTAATTTTCTCACAGTTCTTTTATTTTAGTCTCATAATGGAAACTAATGCTGTACTTTTTAAAAAATGCATAATTACCCTTAAATCTCTAACAGATTTATCCCTTAAAAGGCCTTCGTCCATCCTGTATCACTCTAACCCATTTCCTGTTGTTTTTTTTTTAATATAATTTTCAGCCAGGTGCAGTCGTGCATGCCTATAATCCCAGCTATTTGTGAGGCTATGGCAAGGAACTCACAAGTTCAAGGCCAGTTTAGGCAACTCAGAAGACTCTGTCTCAAAATAAAAAACAAAAAGGCCCAGGAATGTGGATCAGTGGTAGAGCACCCCTGGGTTCAATCCCCAATGGGGTATTACCAAAATAAAGGGTGGCTTTAAATTTTTATTTCTCATTTTAGAAAAAATTTGAGGCAGGAAGTGGTTAAAAACTTTCCCCAAGTCACATTGTCATTAATTCATAGCCAACTATAAAATAAAACACAGTTCTCTGCTCCTACTCCGTTTTTTGCTTCATCTTTTCTCTTTTCCTCCCATACCACATTTATTCCTCCCTTCCCGCATGTTTGTCCACTCTTCCTCTGAATTTAACAGCCTAGCTATACTATCCAGGTGGCTTGCCATGTGATACGATGTGTATGCTAAGAGCAGTATAAGATTGGGTGAGCAAGGGCCTGGTTCCAGCTGAGCAATTGTAGTACTCAGTCCCCGTCGCTAGCTAAGTGCTTCACAACCTTTTTAGTTTTCAAGCTGTGTTGCCTGTGAGTATTTGGCCTGCTACCCTCTCACAGTTGCTGCTTAGCCCTGCAGGAGTTGAAGAGTATCCAGAACTTTGGGCCATCCTATCCTTGGCTCTCCTCTTTCAGCAGCAGAAGGAACCCCAAGCCTACTGTGGAAGCAAGGAGGGGTGGGACTGGATGCCCAGAGAATGATGGCATGGGAACTGCTAACATTGGTTATAAGAACACAGATTCTGTTGGCAGAAGAAAGATGCCTAAGATTGGAGTAAAAAACTGTCAGTCCACAAGCACAAATTATTTTGGCTCGCACTGTATGTAAATCTCTCTCTCTTTTTTTTTAATCTGAATACCTATTTATTTATTTATTATTTTTTTGTGGTGCTGAGGATGAAACCCAGTGCCTCACACACGCTAGGAAAGCGTTCTGCCACTGAGCTACAGCCCCAGCCCCTCATTTCTATCATTTTAAGGAATTTATATTCTGAAGATGAGGCAGATGAATGTTCTATTTACCCTTTGAGCTACTCCCTGCTAGGACTGCTTTTTTTTTTTTTTTAGGAGCGTGAGAGAGAAGAGAGAGAGAGAGAGAATTTTTTAATATTTCTTTTTCAGTTTTCGGTGGACACAATATCTTTATTTTATTTTATGTGGTGCTGAGGATCGAATCCAGCACCCCACACATGCCTGGCGAGCGCGTTACTGCTTGAGCCACATCCCCAGCCCAGGACTGCTAATTTAATTAGATTTTGTTTTATTTTTCTCAATAGTCATTTCCATATAATTAATGAATATTTTCTAGTAATACTATGATTTTTCTTCAAATTATTTTGTATTTTGGCTATTATAAATGAATAGATTCACTTCTAATACAATTTCTAAATTTCTGTTTATTTTTCATGAAACAGAAATTCAGTTATTTTTTTAATTTTAATCTTGTAACTATTTTAATCTTATAAATATCTGTCTTTACTGAAGTAATATATTAATTCAGTAAAAACTCAATGAATAAAATCTGAGTACTTTTCTAGGAAGCATGCACTTGCTTATTTGTCACAATGCTCAGCACTTCATCTATCTGCTGTTAACTACCTGGCACCTAAAGTTAGTTGATGCAACTCTGCCTAGATTACTGAAGTATGAATTTCATACAAGGTAACTTGAGACTCACAGAGGACAGAACTGGAAATATATTTCAGAGTAATCACAGTTGTCCAGGGTTTTTGTTGTTGTTTGTTTTAATGTCTTTATTTTTGTTTTTTTTTGGTTTATTTATTGTGATGGAGATCAAATCTAGGGCTTTGCACATGCTAAGTAATGCTTTACCACTGAGCATTACCAGCCCACCCGAGTTATTTTTTCCCCTGGTAGTTGAATAGCTCTGGATAGGGAATACCCTTTTACTTAGACCTTACTCTCCCCTACCTGCCCCTGCTGTAATCTTGTATAGGATGATTAAGGTGAAACTTTGCCTTTAAAGTTTTCTAGTCATGGGCCAGGGATGTGGCTCAAGTGGTAGCGCGCTCGCCAGGCATGTGTTCCTTCGTTTGGCCCAAGTTTGATCCTCAGCACCACATACAAACAAATATGTTGTGTCCGCCAAAAACTAAAAATAAATATTAAAAATTCTCTCTCTCTCTCTCTCTCTCTCTTTAAAAAAAAAAGTTTTCTAGTCATGCCTTATCCATACTTAGTGATTTATTGGACCTGGAAGAAATTGATTAGAATAAATCTATTTTATTGACATTTTCTGAATTGGTTTAAGGATGGAGAGAAAGAAGGAAAGGAAAGAAGGATTTGTTTATATAGCAAACTTGTGGTGTGATAAAATATAATTTTCAAAAGGTTAAAAAACATGATTTGGGGGTGCTGGAGTTGTGGCTCAGTGGCAAAGTATTTGCCTAGCATGTGTGAGGTACTGGGTTCAATCCTCAGCACCACATATAAATAAATAAATAATAAAGGTACCTCAAAAACTAAAAAATATTTTTAAAAAACCATGATTTTCATATAAATATAAAAATATCAGGTATCAAAAGTTTTATTTAATTCATTAACTAATGAGAGAATCAATCAGATGTTAAGACCAGTTCAAATGAAAATTTCAGAGCTAAATGTTTATAGGAAATTTAATAAAGAAATGTTAAGATTTCTGAATTACATATAGAATTAAATAATGTCCCAAAGTGAAATATGTCATAACCTTTGGAGTTCTTTTCCATAAGACAAGAAATATTTGTATCTCTACTGGATAAAAATCTACAAGTTAACCTGTGCCTCAAGCAATTATAAAATAGTCCAAAAATAAATTGGAAAACTAATCAAAGATATAAATCCAAAATTGCATTAAAACATCACCCAGTAACTTCATTCACCTGTTTCTAAGTTTCAGTTGCCTTTTATGGATGGGTCATAGTCATCAATTTAGACTTTGTTGCCAGGAAGTGCAATCTGTTTCTCAAGCTTTGAAATTTTAACTTTTTGATGAGGATAAATGAATGGAGTGAATTCTAAAACCTAGCTTATGTATGTTAGGGGGTATTATTTTGGATTTCAAAATTTCAAATTAAATGAAAGAGTGTCAGCTTAAAAAAAAATCTCATTCAAAATATTTTTATTTTCTTTGTAGAGATTCCATGGGATTGTAGTAGGTACTACTCTGCAATGTCTCTAACAGAAATCCGAAGTGAGCACGGATTCGATGGAAGAGGTAGGAAGACTCAGGAAAAGAAATAAAATCAAATCTGTACATTCTTATTATTGCCTCTGAAAAGTGTTTGTGTATATACGTATGTGTTTATGGCAGGTAAACAGACTACTAACCTACCAAACAAATGACCAGGAAGGGAAACATATTTTGTAGAAGTAACGAGTTCCTCTGTTTTGTCATCTAAGAATTCTAATTTGAGTAGTTGCAATTTCTCATCTTTTATAATTTTCCAGAGTTTGGAGTTTCACAAGAAAGCATTGTCTTCCTTTCCTCTCTCTATCCTTCACAACTGTCTCCTGCTAAAAAGAGCTGGTCAGGATGAAAAGAAGTTACTGAGGCATTTAATGTCCTCTTGCAGTCTTTCTGTGGGCAGAACAAATGGATCTGGCTGTGTTGTTAGGGAGGATTTCCATACCATTTCCATGATTTCCTTTGGGGAATCAAGATACTAAAGGAAACTAGATTAATCATACTTAAGCCATCTTTCAGAATGGAACTACCTGGCATGTAAAAATGTTTTTAAATTCTGACATGAAATTTTGAAAAAGCAGACCAGAATGTAGTTTTACGTGTAGGCTTCCTTTTAAGGAATGATGATAGATGGTGCAGAGATTGAAATTAGTTCACTGAATAAAGGCCACACTGTACCATTTTTGCATTTTGTCATTGAGTAGGTTATTCCTTTCTGGAGAGAACCCATTCGAAAGGCCCTGGTTCCAGGAGGAAGTCAGGAAATGCCTCAGAGGGAAAGCCAAGGGAGTCCTTTCTCCCCTCAGGAGAGCCAAAGGAGAGAGATCTGAGGAAAACAGGGTTAATTGACCAACTTCTCCAACATCTTCTTATGGGGAAAAAATATGGAGAACAGAAATCTTTCAGGAGTAGTAAGTTCTCAGCAAATGAAAATTATGAATATCATCAATAAGGACTAATTAATTCATTCATTTATTTAACAAATATTTATTGATTACCAAATGAGTGCCAGCCATTGTGCCAGGTGCAGCATTACAATTAGTTTGCATAACCAGTTTAGACAATTAGCTTGCATAACTGTGAAGAAACTAAAAACCACTGAATCATACAGTTTAAGTAGGTAGATTGCATGTATGTAGGTTATATCTCAATATTTGATAAACCAGACATCTAAAGTCTCTAGAACTATAGAATTGTTTCTTTACAAAATTTGAAGTAATTGAACTAATATTTAAGAACTTTTCCTGACCTCAGTAATACAGGCTGTATTCCAGATAAAATACAGGATTTCTAGTTAAATTTGAATTTCAGATTTTAAAAAAAAATGACTTCTAGTATAGCTGTGCCCCATGTGATATTTGGGTACACTTATTTTAGATATCTTTGCTAAAAATTTACTATATTTGGCAACCCTACAGTTAAATTGCTTCTTTAGCATCACCAAGGCTTTTTGTTTCCAGCTAATAGGTTTTATTTCCACCTCATGGTTCCCATGCCAAGGAAGGTTTTATAATTGAGCAGCACCAAAAGCGATATCCAGTAGTTCAGCAAGTAGGACTCATTTTTCCTTTTACTACATTGATGAGAAATCATTGGTCCTATATTCCAAATGAGGTCAGAATAGCAAACAAAGTACTTCAGCCCTTGTGAAATGTTCCTGTGGGCTGGGGCCTCTGCCTCAAAGAGAAAAGGGAGAGACCTAAGGTCTCTGAGGGGTCTAGGGTGGGTACTTTGTTTTTAAGGGCCTGAGTTATGCCAGTCAGTTTTCTATGGGACTCTGTTAAGGAAATAGTTATTGTTTGTTTTTGTTTTGTGTTGCTTTGTTTAGCTTTTATGACTGTTTTGATTTTCTATAGGACCTGGTCTTGTTTTCACTGTATTTGGCCATATGAATCAGTGATCCTCTAGGGGATGGAGTTGTGAGAGCTCAAGGTTTGGACTTAGCTTCTTCTGCAGGCTTTTCTTAACACTAAATCTACATATTGTCTTCAGCCATGCTTAACAGCCTCCTGTTAACTGACTTTAGTTAAGGTTAAAAAAAAAAAAATTAGACTTAGCGGAGTGTTCTCTCAGCCCAGATGTTCTGTGATTATGCAGATCCTTCCACAGGAGGAGGGGATTATCCTCCATTGGAGGGATTTGGACAGAAATCTGACCTCAATTTGGCAAAACACTCTTGTAACCATCTTTTCAGTTATGTGCTTGTTCATTCAATAAATCTTTATTAAATCTGGGGACTAATGCTGAGCTAATTTTTCTTATTTTCCCTTAAATAAGAAAGGGGGAAAAAAGACATGGTCTCCATCTTTTTAAAAAATTTGACAAAAATGTATATTTATTTTGTACCTAATGTTTTGAAATATATATTCCAATACATATTTCAGAATATTATATACATACATATATCATATAACAAAATATATATGTATATTATATATGTGTATATATATATATGTGTGCATTGTGGAATAGCTAAATCAAGCTAATTATATAAATAACATATGTATATGTTATATGTGTATATATATGCATTATGTAATGGCTAAATCAAGCTAATTAACAGTTATCATTTTTGTAATGAGAACACATAAAACCTATTTATCATTTTCAAAGTTGCTATATATTACTATTAACTGTAGTCACCATGTTGTAAATAGATTTCCTCCCATATGAAATTTTGTAACCTTGAATTAACACCTACCAACCCCTTTCCCCACCACTGCCCCAAGTCCCTGGTAACCATCATTCTGTTCAGTCATAAAAAGAATGAAAATATGTCATTTGTGACTATATGGATGAACCTTGAAGATATTATGTTAACTGAAATAAGCAAAGCATATAAAGACAAATACTGAATGATTTCACTTATACGCAGAATCTAAAAAAGTAGGTCTCATGTTCTCTGTCTTTAAGGAGTTCTTTGTTGAGTGGGGGGGAATATGGTATTATAAGTGTGACAAAGGATTTGACTATAGATCATAGGACATAGCATTATTAGCTATGTAATGAAATGAAACTGTGGTGAGAAAGCAAATTACTTATTGCCTCTCCTACAGGGCAATAGTCCTGGCCTTACCCATGATCTCTCTGTCATGTCATTTAGCTAGGCTTCTTACCTTTTGGGGGGGGGGGTAATTGGGTATTTAACCAGGGTACTCTAACCACTGAAGTACATTCCCAGCCTTTTTTAATTTTAATTTTGAGACAAGGTCTTGCTAAGTGGCCTGGACTTATGATCTCCTGCCTCAGCCTAGGATTAAAAGCATGCATCACCATGCTCTGCTACTTCTTACCATTCTTTATGTGAAGATATCATCTGCTGCACTCCAGACATCTGGGAGTTTAGACAAGGTTATAAGCCATATGGTAAACTAAATCTGTTAGCTATAATGTTTTAGATTATGTGATTTGACCACCTAATGTAAATTGACTCCAACTTAAATGGACCAAATATCCATCCCATTGTAGCTCTCCTCACTTATTTTGTTAGACAAGGAAAGAGGGAAAGAAATTTCTATCACAGGCATTAAGTGACTTGGCAGAAATCCCCTAGGTCATACAGCAGGAAGTCATTCCTGAGTTTCCCTTGCCAACATTTGGTCTTAACTGAGTTGTCAGTATGGATAATTATAAAAAGCAGAGGCCTTGATTAATATACATTCCTGACAATCATCTCATTTTTAGCTGGAAAATCTCATTTGTGATCCATTTCCCATTATAAGCAAGGGGATATTTGCTCAGAATCTTCTAAGCATGATTGACAGCTAATCGACTGAATTTCTCTCCTTTTCTCCCTTCCTCCTTATTCCTCTTAGTTACTTACTTTTCAGTGGGTCATTATGCAAAATTTAGAGTATACAGGAGGATGTACATAGATAGATTATATGCAAATACTACACCATTGTATATAAGAAACTTAAGCATCATCAATTTGGGTATTCCCAAGGGCCCTAGAACCTATCCCCCACTAATACTGAAAAACAGATCTATACATTTAAATTTTTCATAATATATCAATAACCTCACTATTTCTAATAGTTGTAAAACCTCTGTTTTTTAAAGTATTTTTTTTAGTTGTCAATCGACATTTATTTATTTATTTATTTATATGCAATGTTGAAAATCCAACCCAGTGCCTCACACAAGTGAGTGCTAGGCAAGCACTCTACCACTGAACTACAACCCCAGCCCAACACCTCTGTTTTGATAGGATGATTTTGTCTTATATTGTAGTTATCAGACTCAGACCTACTACATTAAAATTTGATATTCTGTCTTATTCGTCTTTTTATCCCACCACAGCACACTGGCTTCTGTGTAATAGATGCTTGGTGATGATTTAATAATTTAAATTTAGTTAAGCAAGCATGTCAGAGAAAACAGTCTGTCTGTCTCTTTGTCCTCTGCAGCAGCAGACATAAGAGCTGAATGCACTCTAATCCAGTTTAGTTCTGATACTATCTCCTCAGGTTTGTCTAATTTGCTAAAGCAGCTCACAGAGCTCAGAAAACATATTTAAAATTTCAGGTTCATTATAAAGGATATTTCAAAGGAGACAAATAAGTGTCAGATGAAGCGATATACAGGGTAAGGTCTGGAAGGGTCTCAAGCTCAGGAGCTTCTGTTCCTGTGGAGGTGGGGTACAACATTCTCCAAGTGTCTATATGAGTCCTTGTTCACCTTGCTGGGATTCTCCACTTGTTCATCTGTCCTAAAGCTCTCCAAACCCTATCCTTTGGGGATTTAATGGAGACTATTACATAGGCATGAAAGCTAATAGACTTGGTGGGGAACCCCAACAAGGCCTGTCTATGCAGCATTCCTTCCTCCAGAGTATGAGGTAGGAACCCTCTGGAATGAGGTGGGGTATTATGACTTAACTATTAGACAAGGGTAAGTCAGAGAAATTTTTTATAGCCAGCTCCAGAAAGATTAGAATTTCCACAACCTTCCTTTGGAAAGAGACATTTTAGTTTCTTTGGCCTGCCTTGGAGAGGGAGTTAAGAGCCAGGAACTATGGATGAAAAACAAAATAAACAAAAACCAAACCTGTTTATATACATACATATATGTGTATAATAAATATATATATGTATATATTTCATACAGGAACAATATCAGGAAAAGTTTAGGAAACCTGGCCTGGAAAAGAGCCTCAGTTAGCCTAAGACAGGTTGTTGAAATTGATTTGTGAGGGAGGGCTGGATTTCTGTGTTTAGCAGTTATGATTGCACAGACATAATCTAGAAAGCACTTACAAAGGATTAATGTGTAGATTCTCAGGATGTTTTTGTCCTGTTTCTTCCAGAAAGCTTGAAGACTTGAGGATTTCCCCCTTGAAATATATTATTCATTTCTTTGAATAAAGAGACAAAAATCCCATTTTTAAATAAATATCCTCAGCAAGAAAGTGTTGGAACCTAGTATAGTCTTCACTAGCAGCCAGCATCCCAGGTTGATCTGCAGAGGTCCATCATTCTTTCTTATCATTTCTCTTCTCCCCCCACCCACCCCCAGAATATGAGAGATTTCTGCAAGCCAACAACAGAGAATTCAACGCTCTTTTTGGATATCCAGTAAGTATCCCACCTTGGGCTATTTCAGAAGGGAGTTAATATTTTGTAATATTTCTCTTTGTTAAGGAAACAGGGAATTCATTATAGGTGTGAATCCTTCAATATAAAGTCTACTTTCTTTTAAGTTCCTATACAATGTGTGGTACAATGAGTGTTTAGAAACCAAATTAATCCAAGTACCTAAACTCAGGGGAGAATATGTCTCAGATTTTAGATTTATATATGACAACTAGAAAAGAAATACTATAGCTTTTTGTTTTGCACAAATGAAAGCTTAGTTCCACAATTGTCTTTTTTCACTTAGATATTAAGAAAATACATGTAGATCTACTACACTCATTATTTTCCATTATATTGATAAACCTTATGTTATTCAACCAGTTTTCTATTGATGAACATTTAAAATTTCTCCAGCATTTTTCTATGATAAATAGTCCTGCCAAGCTCAGTGGCACACACCTGTAATCCTAGCTAATCTGGAGACTGAGGGAGGAGGATTACAAGTTTAAGGCCAGCCTCGGCAACTTAGTGAGACCCTACCTCAAAATAAAAAATAAAAAGGACAGGGGGGCACTGGGGTTGTGGCTTAATGGTAGAGCACTCGCCTAGTACGTCCAAGGCCCTGGGTTCCATCCTCAGCACCACATAAAAATAAATAAATAAATAACAAATAAATAAGTAAAGGTGTTGTGTCTAACTACAACTAAAATATATATATTTTTTTTTAATATTTTCACCACTGGAGCTACATTCCAGTCCTTTTTATTATATATATATATAATAAAATAATATATATATATATATATATAAAATAAAAAGGACTAGAATGTAGCTCCAGTGGTGAAGTACCCCTGGGCTCAACCCCCAGTACTAAACGAAGAAAAAAAGGAAAGAAATCTACAATAAATGATCCTACATGACCAACATTATATATTGTATCTGCATAGATATATAATATGTATATTCCATATATAGGTATAAATATATATAGTTTGTCACATTTGTATTCATATATGTTGTGAGAACTTCCTGGAAGTGAATTGGCTAAGATAAAAGGAAAACACATTAAAAATTATGATACATACTGCCAGCTTGCCCTCTAAAAAGATTATATCCTTTTATAGTTCTGCCTATAGTAGAGATCTGCCACGTGACCAGCACGAGCTTCATAAAAGAAGGTTCAATGCACAAGAAATTGCTAGTGAGTTTTAAATTAAAGAGACAGACTGTCATTACCTTTAACCCCAGCTCTGAGCCCGCTTCTCCTAGCTCCCGCCTCCAGCCACCTTATGCTGTGCGAGGTTTACAAAAGAGACTAGAGAGAGAGAGAGAACACCAGGGAGTGAGCTTTTATTGGGGAACAAAAAATTCAAGGGAAAATCTCATCCAATGAAGGTTAAGGGGGGCAGCATCCCAAGGTCAGGGCCAGCGATTGGGTCTTCAGATCAGTGGCTAGGCATGCCTCTTCATAGACAAGCCCTCGAACCTGGGACAGGGTGTGGGATGGCTTTAACACCACTGTGTCCAATGCCTCTCATCCAGCCTGGGAGGTAACTCAAATCACGTGTGAGGATGGCCTCCCACATAGAGACTGTCCATTTTTCTATATTCCTGCAAACTGGTTATTATCAATCTTCACCTTCAATGAAAAAAGACTCTTAGATGAAAAATGGCATTTTGTTATCTCTTCTTCCTTAATTTTAAGTGTGATTGATAATCTTCTTGTGTTAGCCATTTATATTTCTTTTTCTGAAAACTGCCTATTAATGATCTTTGCCAATTTTCTACTGGGTTGTTCATTTTTCACCTACTTATTTGTTTATGAATAAGTAGTTCATTGAAAAGATATATATTGAGAGTTTTCAAGATGGCAGAATAGAGGAGGTCGATTTCCTAGCTGCCCCAAGGAGTGAAACCAAGAAAGCAGACAGGCAGCTTCTCAGAAAGAATGGATGAACAAAAAAAAGTGGGGTGACTTTACTGAACTGGCACGGGCAGAAGATATTGTTGGAGATCCTGAACACAAGACCAGGAAACATGGGGTCAGAAGGCAATGAAGGGGTCTAAGAATTGGTTCCCCCACTACTCATCCCTAGGGTACAGTCTTCCAGTGTGGACAAGCAAGTACTGGGTACTGGAGGTGTACTGATTTAAAATCTCCAGACCTATCTGCATTCAGCAAAGAGCCCCAAACAATGGAGCATCTAAGCCAAAACCCTACCTCCAGGAACTCTGCTTACTGGTTTACCTCTCTCACTCCAGCAATCCAGAGGGTGGAGCATCACACTCTAGAAGACTCCCACCTAAAACTGCCGACAAGAGAAGCTGAGAATATTTTGAACCCCAACAGAAAGAATTCTTTAACTTTTCATCAAGATCTTTTTTTTAATTCTTTTTCTCTGTATAATTGTGACCTTAATGGTACATGGACATTTATACATATTCATTTTTTTCTCATTTCTAGCATTTTTGAAGCCAATTATTTTTTATGGATTAGTTATTTTATGAACTAGAATGTTTGATTAGTATGTTTTAGTTATGTTTTGTATTCTTTTATTTTATTTTTTAAAAAATTTTATTCATATATATTTTTTCTCCTACTAGTTTTCCTTGATTCTCTCTTTTCTTCTGATAACAGCCAATCTCTATCGTTCTTTCACTCTTCCTTTAATTTTTTACTTCTTCTTCTCTCCTCCTCCCTCATAATCATCGAATCCTATATCACTTCTGTTCTCTCCCTGTCCACCATTTGAAATTATAAACCTTTTTGCAAACTCGCTGTTTTTATTGTAGGCAATAACTGATCATATCATTTCTGTTTATTGTGATAATTAACATTGTAAACATCATAGTAGGAACTATTTGGTTTAATGCTGTATATTGTTTGCATTTGGTTGTTATTATATGTCTCCCCCTAAATAGTGAAGTACTGGAAGCCTTCAGGGACACTAAAAGTCCAGAGTAGAAATTCTACTGCCTCAGATCCATACTGATAGATGGGTAGACACACAAAGAACACGAGAAAAAAAGGGAACAAATCATGTCAAAGAAAGCAAGATGCTCCAATAACAGAATCCATCAACACAACAGTAGAATAAATGTCAGAGAAGGAGTTTAGAATGTACATAGTTAAACTGGATCTGCAAAGTAAAATACGGTATAAGGAATGAAATCAGAGAGAAAATGCAGGAAGTGAAAGATCACTTCAATAAAGAGGCAGAGGGCTAGAGGTGTGGCTCAGTGGTGGAGCACTTTCCTGGCATGTGTGAGGCATTGGGTTCAACCCTCAGCACCGCCTGAAAATAAGTGAATAAAATAAAAGTATTTGTCAATCTACAACTAAAAAAAAAACTTTTTTTAAAAAATTTAGTGGCAGAGATTCTGGAAAAATAAACAAGCAGAATTCTTTGAAATGAAGGAAACAGTAAACCAAATTAAAAATTCAATTTGCATCACCAACAGACTACACCACTTAGAAGACAGAACCTCAGGCAATGAACACAAAATATATAATCTTGAAAATAGAGTTGACCATGGAGAGAAGATTTAAAAAAAAATCAACAGAACTTCCAAGAACTATGGGATAAACTGAAAAGGCCAAATTTAAGATTTATTGGGATAGATGAAGCCACAAAGATACAAACCAAGGAATGCACAATCTTTTCAATGAAATAATACATGAATATTTCCCAAACCTTAAAACTGAAATGGAAAATCAAATACAAGAGGCTTACAGGACGCCAAATGTACAGAAGTACAACAGACCCACACAAAGGCACATTTTAATGAAAATGCCTAACATACAGAATAAGGATAAAATTTTAAAGGCTGTGAGAGAAAAATATCAGATTATGTATAGAGGGAAATCAATTTGGATCTCAGCTAACTTATCAACCCAGACCCTCAAAGCTAGGAGGTCCTGCAATAACATATACCAAGCTCTGAAAGAAAATGTTTGCCAACAAAGAATTCTGTATCCAGTAAAATTAAACTTTAGATTTGAAGGTGAAATAAAAAAAGTCCATGATAAACAAAAGTTAAAAGAATTCACAACTATAGAACATTCTCAACAAAATATTCCATGAAGATGAAAGGGGAGGGCTGGGGTTGTGGCACAGAAGCAGAGTGCTTGCCTTGCAATGTGAGGCACTTGGTTTGATCCTCAGCACCGCATAAATACAAATAATCAAAATAAAGACAAAAAAAAAGGTAAAAGGTGAAGAAAAAAAGTGAAAACCAGCAAAGAGAAGAACTACACTAAAGGAATAGTCAATCAAGGAGAAACGACTTCAAATTAAAAACTAGAAATAAACCATGACTGGGAATACAAATCATATCTCAGTAATAACCTTGAACATTAATTCAGGGGCCTAAAATCATCATCAAAAGACATAAACTGGCAGATTGGATTAAAAAGCAAGCCCCAAACAATACTGTCTCCAAGACACTCACCTTGTTGCCAAAGACATCCACAGACTGAAGGTATAAGGATGGGAAAAAACATATCATTCACATGGATCACATAAACAAGCAGGGGTTTCTATGCTCAGATAAAGTGGACTTCAAGCCAAAGCTAATCAGAAGGGACAAAGAAGCTCATTTCATACCCCTTAAGGGAATTATATATCAACAAGACATAAGGGCTGGGGATGTGGCTCAAGCAGTAGCGCGCTCGCCTGGCATGCGTGCGGCCCGGGTTCGATCCTCAGCACCACATACCAACAAAGATGTTGTGTCCGCCAAGAACTAAAAAATAAATATTAAAAATTCTCTCTCTCTCTCTCTCTCTCTCTCTCTCTCTCTCTGTCTCTCTCTCTCTCTCCCTCCTGTCTCTCACTCTCTCTTTAAAAAAAAAAAGACATAACATTCATAAATATTTATGCCCCAAACAATGGAGCATCTACATACATCAAACAAACCCTTCTCAATTTCAAGGATCAAATAGACCACAACACCACAATACTGGGTAACTTTAACATGCCTCTGTCACCACTGGATAGACCTAATAAAAAAGCTATAGAAGTAAAAAATACAATTGATAATTTAGACTTATCAGATATATATAGAATATTTCATCCATCAATTAATACACTTTCTTCTCAGCAGCACACAGATCCTTCTCTAATATAGACCATGGTATGTAAGCTATCACATATGTTGGCATACAATTGTAATAGTACCTTAATATATTTTTAGCATCTGTAGGGTTATTTTCATAGCTCCCTTTCCATTGATACTAATTTTTGTGTTTTTTTTCCTGATTAGACTTTTTGATTCTTATCAAATTTTAGCCATAGTGTGTGTGTGTGTGTGTGTGTGTGTGTGTGTATATATATATTACTACATAATTTGATTGTTAATCTAGCTTTTTTCTAATAAAAATACTTTAAGTTATAAATGTTCATCTGACTACTGTTTCATCCTAGAGATCCTGATATTTTAAGCTTTTATTATCACTTATTCAGAGCACTTAGTTCAGAGACATGTGGGGGTGGGGTTCTGTATATCTTAAGGTAATGGATTTCTTTTTTAAAATTTGTTTAGACATTGATGACCTTTATTTTATTAATTTACTTGTATGTGGTGCTAAGAATCGAACCCAGTGCCTCACACATGCTAGGCAAGGGCTCTACCACTGAGCCACAACCCTAGGATGATTGATTCCTAATGTAATAAATCATTCATGAAACAGTCTGCATGGTTTCAAATTTAAAAAAAAGTAATGGAAATGCTTTTTATATTGATTATATTGGTTACATACATGTCAAAACTGATCAAATTGCATATTTCAAATATGTATATTTTATTGTACTTCAATAAAGCCATGGGGGGACTAGTAGTAATCTCCAGCTTCATTCAGCAAATGCTATAATTTCACTCTTCTTCATGACTGAGTAGTATTCCATTATGTATACATACCACATTTTCTTTATCCATTCATCTCTTGAAGGACACCTAGGTTGGTTCCATAGCTTGGCTGTTGTGAATTGAGCTGCTGTAAACATTGATGTGGCTATATCACTGTAGTATGCTGATTTTTAAGTCCTTTGGGTATAAACCAAAGAGTGGGATAACTGGGTCAAATGGTGGTTCCATTCCAAGTTTTCTAAGGAATCTCCATCTGTTTTCCAGAGTGGTTGCACCAATTTGCAGCCCTACCCGCAATATAGGAGTGAACCTTTTCCCCCACATAATGTAATACACACACACACACACACACACACATACACACACATACACACACACACACACACATTTATTTATTTATTTTTAATGTGGTGCTTAGGAGCAAACCCAGTGCCTCACATGTGGAAGGCAAGCTCTCTACCACTGAGCTACAACCCCAATCCCACCAACAACATGATTCTATATTTAGAAGACCCAAAAAACTTAATAATTGCCATTCTGACTGGAGTGAGGTGGAATATCAGTGTAATTTTAACTTACATTTCTCTAATTGCTAGAGAAGGTGAACATTTTTTCATATATTTACTGACCACTTGTATTTCTTCTTCTATTAAGTGCCTATTCAGTTTCTTTGCCCATTTATTGATTGGTTATTTGTTTGCTTGGTGTTGAGTTCTGTGTATATCCTGGAGATTAATGCTGTAGATAAAGTGCAGGTGGCAAAGCTTTTTTCCCATCCTTTAGGGTCTCTCTTCATGTTCTTGGTTCTTTGCTGTGAAGAAGCTTTTTAGTTTGATATCATCCCACTTATTGATTCCTAATTTTACTTCTTGTGCTTTAGGAGTCTTGCTGAGGAAGTCAGTTCCTGAGCTGACATGATGGAAAGTTGGCTCTACATTTTCTTCTAGTATGCACAGGGTCATGGGTCTAATTCCTAGGACCTTGATCCACTTTAAGTTGAGTTTTGTGCAGGGTGAGAGATAGGGGTTGAATTTCATTCTGCTGCATGATGTTGTCCCAGCACCATCTATTGAAGAGGCTATCTTTCCTCCAGTGTATGTTTATGATGCCTTTGTCTAGGATGAGATAACTGTAAGCATATTAAAAAGATAGTGTACCATGATCAAATAGGGTTCATCCAAGGGATGCAAAGTTGGTTCAACATAATGGAAATAAATAAACATAATTCATCACATCAATAAACATAAAGATAAGAATCACATGATTATCTCAATAGATGTAGAAAAGGATTTGACAAAATTCAGCATTCATTCATGCTCAAAACACTAGAAAAACTAGGGATAGTAGGAGCATACCTCAACATTGTAAAAGCTATATATGTTAAAGCCAGAGCCAACATCATTCTAAATGAAAAAAAAATTGAAAGCATTCCCCCTAAAAACTGGAACAAGACAGGGATGCCTTCTTTCAGCACTTCTACTCAACATAGTCCTTGAAACTCTAGCCAGAGCAATTAGACAAAAGAAAACAATTAAAGGGACTCAAATAGGAAAAGAACTATCCCTGTTTACCAATAACATGATTCTATATTTAGAATACCCAAAAAACTCCACAAGAAGCCTTCTAGAACTCATAAACAAATTCAGCAAAATAGAGTATATAAAACTAACACCCATGAATTAATTGTGTTCCTATATACCAGTGATGGATCAGCTGAAAGAAAAATTAAGAAAACTGTCCCATTCACAAAAGCCTAAAAAGAAAAAATACAGAATCAATCTAACAAAAGAGGTGAAAATTCCAATGACATTCTTCATAGAAATATAAAAAGCATTCATGAAATTCATTTGGAAAATAAAAGGCCCAGAATAGCCAAATCAATCCTTAGCAAGAAAAGGAAAGCAGGAGGCATCACAATACCAGACTTTAAATTATGCTACAAAGCTATAATAACAAAAACAGCATGATATTGGCACAAAAATAGACATGAAGACCAATGGAACAGAATAGAAGAAACAGAGACAAACCCACATAAATATGGTTATCTTATAACAGCTTCTTTTTTCACCTGCTTTGTATTCTTCCACAAATTTACTACTGTTTATTTAAACACTTTCAGTCTTTTATAAGTATAAGCAATGGTTTTATACATGTTATTTAATGCATGTGTATAACACTATATATATGTGTGTGTGTTTGTAGTTTATGTGGAATGTTAGTTTATGATTTCTGAGAGTGGTTCTTGATAATAATGTTCAATGTGGTGCAATGGAGCAGGATTTTCCCTCTCTCTATTGCCCAGACTTACATAAGAAGCAGTATGATACAATAAAAGTAAGTTTTTGGTATCATATAGACCTGAGTTTCAATGCAGTTCTGCTTCCTTACTAAAACAAGTCATTCTGACCTTTAGTTCTTTTATATATAAAAAGGGCATAATAAAATTCACCTTACATGCTGGTCATAGCATTGTGAAAATGTGGCTTCTGTTTCTCCAAGAAACTGTGCTCCATGTGATTATAAAAGATTGAAAACAATACAATGTCCATGTACAAGAAACTGTTTAAATAAACTATGGTAAATATGCAGAAGAAATATTATGCAGCTGAAAAGGACTTGTTTCATTTACCTCTGTATTCATGGTTCCTGCCCCCAAGTTGGCACATAGATAATATATGCTGAATATTTAATAGTGAATAAATAAGTGCTGAATATTGAATGAACAAATAGATTAACCCAGTTTTAAGCTGTCATTTGTCTCTCTAATTGTGCATGATTTTTGTTGTTGTTGTTGTTTTTGGTTTTTACTCATAGAACAATGCCATCAAGACCTCAAAATATACTATTTTGAACTTCCTGCCCCTGAACCTATTTGAACAGTTCCAGAGACTTGCAAATGCCTATTTCCTGGTATTGCTAATTCTACAGGTATTGCCTCATGGGCCCTTTTCCATGGTGTTTTATAAACTTTTCTGGGGTCAGGTTGTATAATCAGTCCCTAAACTGAGAGATATCTTCTCTCTTTAGACAGAGGCAAATGAACAGCTGGTAACTCAAGCTAGTCCCCTAGAATAGCTAAGGTTAGGATTAGCCAATGTGAATCAACCCTCTGCAGGAGGGAGACAAGGTCACCAAATTCCAAGGAATGGGGGTTCCTCACGACTGCATGGCCCCAGTTCACCTAGACCATAGGTGGCCACAGACTCTCCATCCCAACACCAACTGCAATACTATTCCTCTTTCTCATCCTAGACTCCACAACAGGAAGTTGATGTGTAGGAGTCTGAGGAAGGAGGATTATTTAGAATATAAGACTGCTAGCACAAGGAAAGCAGCATAGGGTAGGCCCAAATTAGAGCAGAAGACAGATCATCTGAGGTCTCCTTGTGCGGAAGAGGTGTGGGAGAGTGTATGGTTCCCCACACCCACTCTTACTCCAGTATCCTTTGTTATCAGAAAAGAACTGGCCTTTTTCCATCAGGACAAAGATTGTGAAGCTCAGAACAGATTGGTAGCTACTGACAGTCTTTCCTTCCTTATCCTCCCTTGGGAAATATTTACTTATATCCTGAGGGTTACAGGAAAACTAAAACAGTGAAAGCAACAGGATAGTTGGATTTATTATGAATTTAGGGAGTGAAAATGTTGGTGGAGGTAGGGAATTGGGGAAAAATATATTGTCCTTTAAGTTTTCTGACCCAAGATTCTCCTTTTCCTTCTCTCAGTTGATTCCCCAGATCTCCTCCTTGGCATGGTACACCACTGTGGTACCTCTGGTGGTGGTGCTGTCCATAACAGGAGTGAAGGACGCCATCGACGACTTGGTGAAGTGGCTTCCTGGGCTTCCTTCACTGTAGCTTGACAGTCTGTGGGCAATAAAACTTCCCAGAAGTATCTCAAGCCAAGATGCACTGAATGGAAAAAGATGTTTCCCTTCTTTGTTTCTTTATGTATCTCAGAAGGATATGTAATTCCCATCCGCCTAAGGCTGGTTCTCTTTTCACAGCCAGAAAGGGACAATGCAAGGCCTTTCTCTGCCTTTGGGCTGCCATCATTTTGAGCCCTTCCTCCAGGTCTCCTTCCTTTGGCTCTGCCACTCCCTCACTCTTCCTTCAACCCACTTTTAGCTTTCTCTGGTTTCACACTCATCCTTCTCCCTCTGTGCCCCCTTCTCCCATTTTATATTCTCTTTTCCTTCCTCCCAATATTCTGCTCCTCCTTGTTCCTGTTTTTCCTCGTTCTTCTCCTCCTCCTCCACATTTCCCTTCTCTCCAATTCTCCCTATTTCCTTTCCAGCTTTCAGTTCTATTCACACACAACTAGGAGCCCTCTAGTTTAGAAAGCCTCAGACACAGCTCCTTTCCTGAATCAAGTTAACAACTGGTGAGAGAAAATGGTTCGCAGCTAATGCTTCTAAGGGGAAAACCCAGCCCCACATCTGTTAGGGGGATTCAGGACGTCGATCCTTGCAATTTCCCCAAGAGAACCCTGATTTTGCCTATCTAGGTTTTCAGACCAAAGCTTGAAAGCCTGTTTCTCCAACTTTTTAATTGTAAAATCCAAGCTTAGCACATTTGATGGTTTAAATTTTAGTCACAACTTAGATGTGCAAAAATGTAACTATTTCTCTATAACTGGACTCATTTAAATTCATAACCACTCATAAATCCCACCCCACTCTTTCCAGGAAAAACAAAACAAAACAAAAGTTGTTGATTCGGGGTAATCCAGCTACTTCTGGTTTAGAACCACCTCTTTAGGATAAATATTTGGACAATTATGAATTGTAACAAATTCAGGATTCTCTCTGCCCCCTGCACAGTCCTGCCCTTTTTTCAGTCCTGGCACTGGGATATAGCCTAAATTTGTTCTCCTGCTATTTGGACTTTGAATATCAGCTTCCTTCTTCATTCCATCTGCTGTAGAAGTTTCTGTATGTCGACCACAGTTGGGATAGGGATGGAAGTATGCTTAGCAATACACTCCTTTTTCCTGCATCTGCCAAGGCATATGGGACTCTCTAGTTCTGCCTGTCACTCTGTATACTCTGTATACTCTGTCCTCTGTGCCTTTTGATATAGTTACCCCAGGCTTTGGCCTTTGTCTTTCTTCTTCCCAGGTAATTTTTCTGACTTTCCTTCTCAGCTTACACGTGGCATTAGGTTCTTAGCCTGATTTTAGTGGTAGAAAGGGCTTTGGAATGGAAGAAAGGGAAATTACAAAGGAGGGTATATATATATATTGGGTAATATTTCAAAATGTTAAAATTTTACATGCAGTTCTATATATCTGTTTCCTGAACATCTTCTTGTGTGGTTTTAGAAAAGGCACCAAAGTGACAATCAAGTTAACAACTGTTCTGTTCTGCTGCTGGCAGATGGCAGGTACGTTTTTTAAGGAAGCCAATTTAGGAAGGACCAGTCCCAAGAGAGGGTCAGCCTTATTAAAGTGTGATGTCCTGGGTACTTGGGAAAGGTAGTTCAGGACAGTGAAAAGAACCTCAGATTGGCACAAAAGGAATTTGTTTCTAGATGTCATTGAGTATGCCCTTAACTTGCCACCTTACTTCAAATGTCTCTGGGACTCATTTTTCTTCTCTTTAAAGTATAAATAATATTTTTCACTTAGAAGATGAAGGAAAAATAATTTATATTAAAGCAATTTATATGTTATAACATGATATTAAATATACAAGTGATTATTATCAGTGTCATGGTTAGAAAGAAGACATTTGAGTTTATAACATTACTGGATTTGGTCAGGTTATCTTTCCTATTAACAGTCTAAAGAAGTATTTGTGTCAACACCATTGCTCTGGTGTTTGGTCTTAGGCACCTAAAGTGTTGGCAAGACTGAAAGGAGACAAACATGTTCCTATGTAAGGCAAAATATGAAGATATCATAAGAGGTATAACAAATTACTTCTTTGATTTCTTGGCAAAAGAAATCAAAGAAGACTTTCTGGAGGAGGTGATATCTGTACCAGACCTTGAAGAATGGGAAGAATTCAATAAAAGGGATTGTGTGAAAAGAAGAATGGCCAGCATGAGCAGAAGCACAACTGCAATAAAGTGAAAACCTGAAGGAAGTCAAGGTTGAGGTTCAGCCTTTCTCATGGTGGCCTTACAGCTCACTTGTATCTGTAATTTTTATCATGTAATTCTGTCATCTGGTGTTCTAGGCATCTCATCCTATTGTTTATTTTGTCTGCTGATTCTTACTTACACTAGATTGTTTCCTTGAGTATTTAGAACTGTTGAAATCTCCCATAAGACACCAAAAATGGCATGGTGGCACTTGCCTGTAATCCCCAGTGGCTCATGAGGCTAGGGCAGGAGGATTGCAAGTTCAAAGCCAGCCTCAGCAAAAGAAAGGCACGAAATAACTCAGTGAGACCCTGATTCTAAATAAAATACAAAATAGGGCTGGGGATGTGGTCAGTGGTCGAGTGCCCCTGAGTTCTATCTTGGTACAAAAA